TATGGAACCAACCTTGAAATTGTGAAAAAATATTTACTGTGTCATACATTTGTCCGAGTTAAAAAAAACATAAATGTATGGAACACCTGTATTTATTTCACGTATTCGATATAAGAGATAATTTTATTATTTAGCTTGATTTGCCTTGAGAATTTATTTTACTCATCAAAATGAACAAATTTTACTGAGAAACCTACTGTCTCAGAGTAAAAAAATACAGCTGTTTCCATCAAGAGTAAAAATAAAATGAAACAAGTGATTTTATTTTGTTCGGAGACATAGGTAGGTTTCTTAGAAAAAACTGTTCATATTTAAAGTAGGTACAAACAACCTTGAAATTAGGTTGGTGTCCTGTTTTCTAGGAGACCCTGTACCTGTATGTAAATACAATATTTTTCTTAATAAAAATGGCTGTCAAGGTTACTATCTATAAGATTTATTAATTTTTTACGACCCATTTCCAATATTTGTAACTAAGTGTAGCTAGAATCAATTTAAAAAAAATTAATATGATATTTATCTGGGTATTATTATTAGGTAATACGTCGTAAATTGCAACTGGCAAGCGGTTGATATTTATTTATTATTTGCAAATGTCAACGTTGCCAGTTCGTGCGGTGTGGGAAATTCCTCATCCGTCCGAGCTATCTTTCACACCAAATGGATCCCAGGCTCCACCCATCTCGTAAGTCAGGCAGATTCGCGCGCTTTTGAAAATGAATAGGTTCGGCAACGTCGCATATTTAACGTTATTATTACGTTAACTTGCCTGTCACAGTTTCGTTCTGTTACTCTTAAAACGTTATACTAAATATTGAAAACGATTTGGCTTGCTGAAGTAACGATACTATTATAACGTTGTGATAACGTTAAAAATTCTGATATTTATAACGTTTTAAGTCCCTGTCATCAATATCATTACCACTAAATTATAAAAATATACGCATTCGTAAAATATTACAACACCAAAAGAATATGTCGTTGTGTGTAACTTTCCAGTAAATAAATAAATACACATCCAATTCAAACGTCTAAAACGCGCGCAATTTTTCTGTCGGACGTCTGTTGCTCTCCAGCGACTGTGAAATTGTGCTGTCCGAACGCTGCGCTGTATGCGAGACAACTTGTTTAAAATAAAGGAAATAAGGAATTGCATTTTCTCTGATGTGCGTACTTTTAGTTCCTTGGATGTGACTTTTGAAGTTGTCTTATTAAAGGGACTATACGCCTAAAATAATGAGTCAATTTTTAATATTTTTAATTTTATATTGTTTTATTTTTAGGATCACTAACATAACAAACGATTTAAAAACAAGCTAAAAGATTTGATCTGACGACGTTTGGATTGTTGGCGCTACTAAGGCCAGCATTCGGGTTCATTATTACGTTAGTTACAACACCATGTTATTGCATTGTTACCGAAGTTACATTATTAATTTTTCCCAATCTTAGTTTATTCGATGCCAGCGAGTACTTCAAAATAATTGATTACAAAGTTATAACCGGAAAGATGTACGCATAGAGCAATTTAATAAAAAAAGTTTTAAAACACATATTCAAGTCTCAAATCTTAATAACCATGGTATGCACAAATTAAAAAAAACTTAAAATAATTGAAATATTAAAATGTTACTTATTTTTAACATACTTTATAGTTATATGTTGTACATCTATGCGTAATGTGTGAAATTTAAAGTTAATTTTTTTATTTTTTATTTTAGATCAATAGCATTTAAAGGTAACTTTGTATTTAAATAAGAAATTAACTTAAATGTAAGAACCGATTTTAGAATTCATCAATGTTGTTTTGATTTTTCTAAACTTTTCTTTGATCTTACAACTTTGTGTTTCGTGTTGTGTGTAGTGTTTTGTGTGTGTGTGTGTGTGTGTGTGTGTGTGTGTGTGTGTGTGTGTGTGTGTGTGTGTGTGTGTGTGTGTGTGTGTGTGTGTGTGTGTGTGTGTGTGTGTGTATGTGTTCTATAATAATGTATTTTCATCATAATAAAATTTCAAGTAAAGCTCTCAATATTACTAATATCCACGTTGAATACTCCAAATAAGTTTAAGATGCTTGTTAGAAGTAGTGGATTCGAGTCTACTACTTTTTAAGTTTACATTTCATAATCAATAATGATTAATAAACTAATTCTTGTGTTAGGTTCGATGGCTCCAACAACAGTGCGAACGGCGGAGAGTGAAGCGTGATTACAAGCAACGAGAAAGTGCATTATGGTCGCAGTTCAACGGCCGGATGCCTTCACATCGGCCCAGACATCGGGCACTCTCTCCCTCCACCTTTTTTCCTAATCTATTATTTAAGGAGAAGTGATATTTAGTAAGAATTATATCATAACTATTTTAGCCCATTGTAAAATCACCAATTAAATATAGGCCTGTCCTAAAGTCATTCATAAAACACCGCGTATAAATTGGCAATTATTTTCATCAGGACGTTTCTTGCCATATTTTTTACATTAACCTTAAGTGACGAACGAAATCACAGTCCATCTTGTGGTAAGCGATTTCTACTGTCCATGGACACCTGCAGTCATCATCAAACAAAGAAGGCTACAGATGCGTTGTCACCACTGAGGGCTAAGATATTATGTTCACTCTGTTTCTATACCTTTCGGACCGGAACAGAGCATTGCATGCACTGCTATTAGGCAGCAGAGGTAGGTAAGAGAGTGGTTCCTTACCAGATGGACTCCTACGCGGAAAAGGAGTCCTAATGCCTAGTGGTATTATATGTACACCTTAATCATCAGTTGCAGCCCTTAATCGTCTGTATTTACCTTATACCTACTTGTATTTCCGTTAGCTATAACTGCCTTGGCGTACATGTGACTGTATTTATTTATTTATTTATTTATTCAGGATAACAACAGCTTATTAATACTTAAACAATATAACTTAAATTATTAAACATGATAAAGCCAATTATAGTTATCCCAAAAGTAGATAACCAAACATAACACTGTAAATCTAATACAATACAAAATAAAAATGGTAAGAACTATTACTAAACAGTAACAAATTAATTGAAGTATTAATATTACCTCCGTGACGTACATATATATACAAATACAGATGTATATACGTACAAAAGACATACATAATTACACTTACAAACACGCACATATGAATCTATAAATGCAAATATATTTTAGTGTTATTGTTATTATAGAAAATAGATAAAAAATTAAAAAGAGACACTAATATATACATACATACATAGAAGAGTGTGGTTTGCAAGATGATGTTGTGACCAGGATTAAGAAAGGAATGCTTCGGTGGTTTGGTCATGTGGAAAGAATGAATGAGGAAAGAGTGACAAAGAAAATTTATGTTGCAGAAGTGAATGGCAGAGTTGGAAATGGACGTCCTAGGCGAAAATTTATCGGCCAAATTGGCGATTTATTGGAAACGGGCCAAATTAGGAGTACCCTTAACCGACGAGCATGTATGCGTAGGTGTATGGATGTGAAGGATGCGAGAGAGGTGTGTCAGGATCGTGCCAAATGGAAATCTGTAGTCTCTGCCTACCCCTCTGGGTGACAGGCGTGAGTGTTTATGGGACATACATACACAAATACACACACATATATATACATACATACACATATATATACCCACATATATACACATACATACATACATATACATATACATACATAATAACAGTATTAAACGAGGGCACAAATATTAATTTGAGTACTATTTTAATTACAATTTACTGATTACCTTCAGCTGGATAGAATAAAAACTTGTTAATTTTATTTTTAAATCCACTTTTAGTATTATTAAAAGGATCAATTGCGCTAAATTTTTTGTCGTAAGTTGCTACTAAACGTGTTAGAACATTGTTTTTCCCATAATTGGTCGGGTGAAAAGGGATGTAAAACAAAGAGTTTCTGGTATGTCTGGTACGTTTCAATGGGACATTAAATTTAATGAAAGCCAATAAGTCAGGGCAGTCAATTCCTCCGTGTAATATATCGAATAAAAACCCCATATCCAGCAGAATCCGTCTTTCTTCAAGCATTAACAGACCGTAAAATCTGCAATCGTCTCGATATGAAGAGCCAGAACATGTACATTGGATTGACGGTCGTATACCATGCGATTCGAAGCTTTCATTCTGTTACCCATCCTAAGTTTGAGCCAGATGGTTATACTGCCATCCTCAGTAATCATAAGATCTTTCCGGCATTATCTATAGTCCTCTCTTACGCACTCAACTGATAAAATGATTTTGCGTTTTCTCTTACGCTGTCACCACACTACGTCATATAGATTTGATTATGTTCATTTCATAATTATTGTTTTTATGTACTTGGCATACAATCTCGTAGATTTTTTAAACAACTACGTGATTACGTTATTAGTCAATTTATTTTCCTAAAGTGAAAGTATTTTATAGAATGGAGGAGCTAAGAGTACTCCAAACAGTAAGAAAGAGGCTGTACCGGAAAGGGTATTGTTGATACTATCCTCGATGATGAAATCTAAACCAATCATCCAAATCTTGCTCAAAAATATGTAAGTAATTACTTGTTTTAATACCGATTATATGTAAGACAAGAAGTGAATAACGTGAGAATTGCCTTTATTTTTCTCAAAATTTATATTGTATATACTTGCAATAGATAATTTATTAGTAGTAGCTTGTTTTTTGAATGAGGGTTGCGTATACATTGACCTACTTCTAAATGACTATATTATAGTAAATATAAACTATAAAAATACTATAACAAATACTAAAATACTCTTTTATAAGTATAGATAAATAAAATAATACTTTTTATATAATTAAGTGTTATTGCAACTGCTAAATATAACCTAAATCTTATGTATTTTCTCTTTTTTCATTCTCACATTATCTTTTACACACAGTATCTGCTCATCGTATTGATATTTAATTTAAAAAAATATTTAATTATTATTCTTCATGGGACCCTAACGCCTCAACGGACGTTAATGGTATTGATGACGACTCCATGCCACAAGACAACGGAGATAATAAACACGGTACTAGATGCGCCGGAGAGGTTGCCGCAGTAGCATATAATCAATATTGTGTTGTTGGTATAGCTTACAATGCAAGTTTTGGTGGAGTATGGATGTTGGACGGCATTGTAAACGATGCAGTTGAAGCTAGAGCTTTGGGTTTGAACCCAGATCACATTGATATATACAGTGCCTCATGGGGACCAGAAGACGACGGTAAGACTGTTGATGGTCCTGGACCGTTAGCTCGGCGGTAAGATTTCATTAATTTGTACGAAATATTGCTTTAATTACACTTTTATTTATTTACAAAATTCTTTTTAGGGCGTTTATTTACGGTGTAACTAGCGGTCGTCGTGGAAAAGGCAGTATATTTGTTTGGGCATCAGGAAACGGCGGAAGACATACTGACTCTTGGAACTGTGATGGCTATACAAACAGCATTTTCACGTTGTCAATTTCGAGCGCTACGCAAGGTGGATATAAACCTTGGTACCTTGAGGAATGCTCTTCTACTCATGCAACTACATACAGTTCCGGCACACCAGGACATGATAAGAGTGTAACTACAGTTGATATGGATGGACGATTGAGATCCGATCATATATGTACAGTGGAATATACGGGTACATCTGTTTCAGCTCCTTTGGTTGCTGCCTCTAAAGCTAACGCATTTATGCGTTAGCTTTAGAGGCAAAACCCCGATTTGACATGGCGAGATATGCAATACTTGGTTGTACTTACATGACGACCGCAATGGCTAGAAAGAGAAACTGGATGGCTCGTTTTGGAGTTAAGAGGAAAATTAGTCATAAATTTGGATATGGTTTGATGGATGAGACAGAGATGGTAAATCTAGCAGAACAGTGGGTGTCGGTACTACCACAACATATATGTAAATCACAAGAGATTAACGAAGACAAATCCACAGAATCTTCATATGGATACACATTAAGTGTTCATATGGATGTAAATGGGTGCAGTGGAACTGTGAACGAAGTTCGGTATCTAGAACATGTTCAGTGTAAAATATAATTAAGATTTTCCCTAGAGGAAATCTGCAAATATTTCTTACGCCGCCGATGGGAATAACTTCGATACTTTTATTTGAAAGGCCCCGGGATGGATGTAGTTAGTTCAAATTTCGATGATTGGCCGTTCTGAAGCGTATACTTTTGGAGAGAATATGCTGAAGGCAGATCGTAAATGCCGGAAATGAGCATATTAACCCATCCGGCACTCTTAAGAAGTGGCAGTTAATATTTTACGGTACTTCAGTTGATTATTTTACGGTACTTCAGTTGATCCAGTAAGACTACGAAGCAAAATACCATCAGCTATCGCACCTCCTTTCGCATTTCCTACATCCGTTGACTGCTATGATTCAGCTGGAGATTCTTTTTACAATACTGACGTGTTTTCCAAGTACCAAAACTTTTTCAGTTTATTCGCAGTCAGTTCAGATCTGGACAAAGCGATAGCCCAACTCGACGGACATAATGTCACTTCACCGCATGGGGAGAATGTTCTCGCTGATAGCAATGACAAACGCGTCCAGCATGAATATGACCTAGAATGAGATGCCAGATCTGATGATGAAAAGGACCTACCCAGTGTATAGTATGCAAGCATTATCGCCTTGATGATGCCTGCGTTTCTCGTTGCCCCCCACGTAGTTTCGCTAACCAAGGCGCAGTGTGTTGGCCTTGTCATGAATCTTGCAAAACCTGGATTGGTCCTGGACAGCATTCTTATTTAACTTGTGCTCCAGCGCATTTACTAGTCGCAGAATTGGCTGTATGCCTTCAACAATGCCTGGACGACTATTAGGAGGATAGTGAGTCGTCAGTTTGGCGACCTTTCGCTGCTCACTGCTCCACGTGTTCGGAGAGAGCGGACGCTTGTAAGTCCTGCGAACACCATTTAGTTCTTCATAATGTTTGGCGTCTTGTTCGGCTTCGTATTTTGAAACTGATGACTACGCGTATGCCGAATTTCTTTCATAGTGTGACTCTTGCGAGAGTTCTGGTGCCGCTCAATGTATCTCTTGCCGTCCTTCAAGTTATGCGCTAGAAGGAAGAGGTATTAATGCTTGTCGCACTGGCTATTATGCTGATAAGAAAAGAAAGGAGTGTATAAAGTAAATATTGTACTGGTTCAACTTTACTATTAGGTTTTCAAGCTATATTCTGATACTATAGCTTTTCGTTTTTTTTTATAAGATGTCCAGTTGGTTGTTCAACTTGTATATGCGAGTTATGCATGTCATACGATGCAAATTAGGAACTGAATAAAAAAGTTAATGTGTCCCCGTTAGTGCAGAGAGATGCAGTACAGGGGAATTCTCCGATGGCACGAACTGTAACCGTGGCCACGACGCGTGTGATTCCTGCTATGGAGATGACGAAAGCAATTGCTTAACTTGTCCATCGCCGAATCTTCTGGAAAACTAGAAGTAAGTTTTAGCAATTTTATATTGATCAATGATTTTCTTGTTACGGTCTTTATTGCATAATAAATAATTTTAATTTTCAAGCGAAAGTCCAAATTTAAATATATCTCTACATGTTGAAACCCATAGAATTCAATTCTACTGTTTTCAGGGATGTGTTTTGTGTGTGTGTGTGTGTGTGTGTGTGTGTGTGTGTGTGTGTGTGTGTGTGTGTGTGTGTGTGTACATTCGTACGTAAGTAAAAATTGAACAGTCTCTATCCCTAATTTATTTATTTATAACAGGAAAACTTACAGCTTTTAAATAATAGTATATGATATATAATGTAATTTACAAAGTAAGCCTATTAGAAGTTTTCACAGATGAGTAATCGGTTTGGGTGCATGCAACATATACGAGTATAAGTAGATATAATTTATACATTGATGTTGATTAGATTTAAGAGTTCAAGAGTAAATTGCTACTGAATTCTAGATGTTATCAATTTGCAGATAGTAGTACCACTAGTAGAAAAGAGGTCAGCCTTATCACAGTCCTTAGGAAATTTATTAAATGAGTTACATGCTCTTAAGAAGAATGAGTTTCGCCTGCAATTTGATCTACATAAAGAAACATGTAAGGGGTTGTAATAACGCAGTGAACGAGAGAGAACTGAGATATGTAATCTTTTTAATAAGTCAGGGCAGTCTAAACGATCTTGAGCAATTTTACTTAGTAAGACCAGGTCAGCTGTATAACGCCTAGTTTGAAGCGGGAGGAGATGAAGATGAGAACACTGCAATTCATAGCCTCATTTGGACATATGAAATTTAGAACTTACATATCGAATGAATTTTTTTTAATCGCTTCGATTTTGTTAAAATATATTTTATATTGAGGATTCCATACTTGACACGCATATTCGAGATGGCTACGAACAAGAGAACAAAACAATATTTTCATTGATTTTAACTGACGGAATTTGCAACAAGACCTTAAAATAAAACCCAGAGCCTTATATGCTTTATTAACGATATCTTCCACATGCTGATCAAACAAAAGCTTAGTATCAATAGTAACTCCAAGATCCCTTATTTTATCACAACTAGTAAATATCAAATCTGTAAGTGCGTAAGAAAAATAAAGCATATCACGCTTCCGCCCGAAAGACATAGTATTACACTTCGAAACATTCAAGTCTAATTTGTTACGGATACAATAATTATCTAAGTTCGTAAGATCGTTTTGTAGGAGATTAGAATCATAAGAATTGTTGAACTTGAAACTTTTATGTCATCCGCGAAAAGCAAAAACTCGGAGTTCTGGAAGCATTCAGCAAAACCATTGATAAATTTGACAAAGAGCAGAGGGCCAAGTAGCGAAACTTGCGGAAAGCCAGAAGGGGCACCCGTCCAGCAAGATGTAAATCCGTTTAAAATTACCGCTTGTGATCTGTTAGAAATGTAAGATGTAAAACATCTAAACAGATCGCCCTTGATACCAGCAGAAGATAATTTTTGCAGAAGTATAGAATGGTCTATGCGATCGAATGCTTTGCTGTAGTCCGTGAAAATGGCATCAATTTGGTTTCCTTTATCCATGTTATAAGTAATAAGGTCCGTGAATAGTAAAGATTAGACATAGTTGATCACGCTGGTTTTCTGAAGAAAACCATGCTGTTGAGGTATAAAGGTATGTTTAATTGCAGGATACAACTGGTTATATACAATTCTCTCAAATACTTTGGCGATTAGACTTAATTTTGATATAGGAGGATAGTTTTCAATTTGATTCTTAGCACCTTTTTTTATGAATGGGAGTTATACATGTGGATTTCCATCTTGCAGGCATTGAACCTCAGAAATAGATCTTTTAAAAATTATTGATAAAGGTTTATATATAGTTTCGGTACACTTAGTTAGGAAAATAGCCGGTAGCCCGTCAGGACCAGCTGATTTGTTCAAGTCAAGTGATTTTAGCAGCCTTTTTTACTTCACAAAAACTAATTTCGATTGAATAGATATCATTAGAAGTTATAGCAGCTATATTATTTAGGTTTACTGTTGAGTTACTAGATTGAATGAAATTAGAATTAAAATATTGAGCAAAGAGATTACTAGTATCTTCTCCTGAATTAGCAGATCCATCATCCTATTTCATCTCGTAGGTCCATTGCGTCCCTTAATTATCATCGTAAAAGACGGTCACGCTTACCGTTATAGCTTGTTAAAGTCCACTACTGAAAATAGGCCTCCCCCATAGATTGCCACATAGGGGGGGATACTTGCCGTCGTTGCCACACTTGGCAAGCGGGTAACTGCCGTTTCTAATATTTTAAGTTGTTATTACGAACTCGCTGCTGCCCAGACCTGCGAATTTGAGCAGCGTTAAATGTGCGTCTGGCACTGCGGTCGTCAATTTGTCACCCAAGCGTGATAATTCGACAAACCCTACAACGAGAAAGGCCTATGTCCAGCAGTGGTCATCTACTAGCTGATGATGAATAGAAGAATATTTGTGATGATTATTTATTATATAATATTATGGTATTATGTTCAGCCTTTTTGATGATACCCATTGAATGCGATAAGTGGACGTAAAATATAACCAGGTTTTCTTTCTTTCCAAAAGGAACTTTAATAATATCAAATCTAACATGAATTAATTGCATAAATCAATAAACCGCTTTTAGGATTAACAAGAACTTAACTTTTTTGTTGTAATTCAGCGCTCCTACCAGTTATTATAAATATGCCTGGAATGAACCCTAAGTTTTTATAGATAAAGAAATTATTATGCTAGCTTTTTTTGAATCATGAAGAATGAACTTTCTTGGGCTGATTGCCAAAGTTTACAACTTTGCTAACTACCAAAATATAATAATAGCTTCTGATTACACTTTCACTATTTTTATTTTATTTTATAGAATATGGGTGATAAGCGAACACACAATCCACCAAGTGTTCCACCAAGCGTAGGCTGTGGCCCATAGAATCTACATTTATTCTGGATCAAGAATTAAAATGCAGATGCGTTGTTGCCGCTGAGGACTAAGATGGAGTGCCTCGTTTCCAGTAAAAAGGGTCTCCGGTTTTTAACACTCACCATGCGAGAAACAGCAGCACTAAACTGTCATTTTATACTGGTATTCTGTGAAAGCGTGGTCCCTTCCGATAGAGCCGACCCATTTGTGCTACAACCATTTTATACCTATGGGAAAAACAGAGTTATGATACGCTACAACAATTTTCATATTTTTCTTCCCATGCTGCGCTTAAAAAAATATTTTGCTACAGATACTATGCGGACCGCGGCACATGTTCGAAGTGTGCTACCTTGTCGGACGTGCATCGGGCCGCGTCGGGATCAGTGCACCTCGTGTCCTTCTGGCTGGAGGTTGGTTGGCCGCCGGCGAGTGCCACCCGGAATGTCCGCAAGGTAACCATTTTCTCCACTTCAGGATTATTTGAAAATTATGCCTCTACAGTGGTAGAAGAAAACATTTTTATTATTAACTAAGTTATTATTTTTAATTTTATTTATAAGATACAATAACTTTATAATTAATAAACATACAAAATAATATTAAGAGATGATATTAACGTAATGTTTTTTAATTTTTTTTATAGAATAGGGTGACGAACGAGCACACAGTCCACCTGATGGTAAGTGGTTGCTGTGGCCCATAGATATCTACATCTATCTTCGTATGCGATGTAAAGTGCAGATGCGACCCGTGAGGACTAAGATGGAATGCCTCGTTTCCAGCCAAAAGGGTCTCCCGTTCTCTACAGTCACCATACGAAACACAGCAGCATTAAGCTACTATTTCACGCTAAACAGGCATTGATAGTTCAATACCTAACATTAATTAAAAATGGTTGTGTATGCATTGCCATTGAGTTTCTAGTCGAAAGAAGAAAATAAAAACAATTTACAATTCGCAAGCACTATTTATATATTTCGTAATCTAATTTAAAAAAATAATAATATTTGTTTCTTCGTATTTTATGCGCTGCCATATCGTTCATCAGATTGCAGTAAAACTTTGTCAACTTATTGCTTGCACTTCCGCGAAGGTTATAGGCATATTTGGACCCGGTAGCTGGCGCTGTTGTAGAATCCAGATATCACCCGTAAGGAGCCGGGGCACATCGCTAGTTAAATTATAAAAAAATTAAATTACATTAAAAGTAATAAATAACAAGAATAGGCAATCAGGCTGATATAGTAAGTGATGAGGGGTGATAAACGGAAAAATAAACCTAACATGCACACGGTGCACTCTGCTGCAGTACCTTGCATAGAAAGGTATGGCTATGACAATCTATCCCAATTGAACCTAACCTTTCTTCCACGAAATGGTGATTTTTATGCCAGCCGACGTAGCTTCGTTATGATGAAGCTTGAAATGTATATAGGCTTAATTTGTTTTTCTATTTCTATAGTCATGTTTCTACCAAAGAGCACCGTCACTGTTATCATTACTGCCGGAAGTGCGACGGATCCGGCCCGTTGCACTGCAATTCGTGTCCGCCCCGCTTCATGCTCTATGGCGGGCTTTGTATGGAATGCCTCGGCTCTCAGTACTACGAGGCGCGCAGTGGATTATGTCGTGGTCGTCATAGTACGTGTCGCACGTGTTCCGGACCGAGGAGGTTCAGCTGTACGGCTTGCTCTAGGCCGCTTCGAATAGACAGGTTTGTATTATAGAATTTTCATCATCAATTGTTATATTTAATACTTTTATGTATGTATTTTTCATACTAATAATGTCTTACAGACCAAGTTTCGGTCACGGCGGCCAGTCAGTCAGGAATTTGGTGGTATTTTACCCTCGTGCCTCGGAAAGTACGTAAAGCTGTTTGGAAAGCACGTCTGAACTCTCTTCTGTTGTACCGGATTGCTTTTCCATCGGATTATGAGAGTGAGGGAATAGAGAGTGTATCTGTGCTTACGCACATACTCGGCACTCTAACCCTGTACTGCGCAGATGGATAGTCTTCTTTGTAGAAATTCTGTCTGGATGACATTATTTAACTTTCAGTTAGAACTATATGTAATCAATATTGAATAAAAATGATTCTTTTCCATTATATTCTAAAGTTAGAGGATGCTTTTCATTCTGTTAAAACAAACTGGCACGTTATAGATTTTGTAGTGCAGTGTACGTAAATTAATTTTGTTGCACAGTTGAAATGTGTGCCTTGCTGCGCAGAGCGAAGGGTTCCCGCTAATTCAACTGCATACGATTGCTGTCACTGTAATCCGGATAACGGTAAGATTGATCCTTCAAATGAATCGTTTATGAGTGGTGGTAAAATGGCCAGCAAACTTGCTGCCTTAGGACCTCTTTTTCGTCCACGTTGCTGCTAGGTACCCTCTGTGAATTCACTTGTAGAAATCGAACTGTGAGCGACGCTTGTTCGGTAATGTTGAAGTAGGCAAGGATTTAGTTTGACACATACGAGAACATGAATACTTTTACTGAAATTTAGCTCCGGCTGGTATGAGACCAATGCAATAAAAAGGTAGTCAATTGTAATTTACTTTAATTTTTGTATTTATTGTTAAATCTTATTGATGATGAGTTCCTTCGCTTCTTTTTTAACAAATTTACTATATTATACAAATGTTACGCGTAATTGTTAACAAGAAAATATGAATTTGGTTGAAATAAAAGGTTTATTTCGTCATCTTAACTCAAAAACTTAAAAAAACTTATTACTTATTGAAAATATTGCAAGTGTAAAGTTTGTTTATAAGATGCACAATTAAACAAATAATATTTGTAATCCTAATATTTCATTAGTTCAAACCAATTTCAATTTGGACTCTACTCCCGTTCCTGCTTAAAGCATTTCGAGTCTGGCTTATAATAGATTTTTTAGTTGGGATCTCTCAAATCTACGAAACTAAAGAGGGAAACTATTGAATCTCTCACCCAATTCAAGTACGTACAAATCTAAGTAAAATATAATTCAAACGAAGAACTGGGACAAAACGGCTACAATATGATTAATTGTTGCAGGCGAATGCATAAACTCGTCTGTTGCCTGCAAGCGGTGTATAGCTGAGTGGGGCGCCTTGCACACCGCGGAGAGGGAGCGTCTCGCTCCCAGTGTGGCGGCCGTCACACTTACTATGTGCGCGGCTGCAGCCACCGTGTTCTTCGCAGCGCTTTTTGTTTTACTGATTATTTGATTTCGTATGCCTTACATTTGGCTATACTTGTTTTTTTTTGTATTATTAAGGAGACTAATGCACGATGTTATCGTAGTGTACCCACTCGTCTCTACATTGATATCTCAATACCAAAATTGATTAACATAATAGATGACAAAGATGCCGTATACCGTTCAACTAATTTAAAAAAAAAAACAGTTTTAAAGAAATAACTAGTATATTATCATAACCAAAGTCAAGTATTATAGTCTTCGTAATAACGCCTTGTAGTGGCGTGTAGTGGTGAATATCCACTACACCATATCTTTCTGTGGGTGTCGTAAAAGGCGAAAGAGGGAAACAGGCAGGAGATGGGCAGCAGCGTCTTCCTGATAACAGCAAAAAAAACTGCGATTGCTAAACCGCTCGCCAAGCGTGGCAACTATGGCAATATACCCCCCATGAAGAATTACACAAATAGACGGCCCCCAGTCCCCGGTGTCCCCGCTATTCCCGGCTACGGTTTCGACCATGGTAACGGCGGGGCAAGGGGTGCTAAGAATCTCCGGTGGAGGTTCGGTTGCCACCTACGTCGACTCGACCTGGCAACATTTAACGCACGCACCCTGAGAACTGACGAGAAGATCCTGGGGTTGGAAGAAGAGATAGACAAGTTGCGCTGGAATATTATAGGATTATCCGAGGTCCGAAGAGAGGAGACACGGTTATTCTCGAATCCGGCAACTTATTATTTACCGGGAGGGTGACCATCTGTCCCAAGGAGGTGTTGGATTTATCGTCCACAAGTCTCTCGTTAACAACGTTTTAAAGATTGGGAGTGTATCGACGAGAGTTGCGTACCTTATACTCAGAATCACCAAACGGTATTCGCTGAAGGTCATTCAGGTTTACGCGCTAACGTCGGAACATCCCGATGAGGTGGTGGAGGAAATGTATGAGGACATTTCTAGAGCCATGCATTCCTCCAAAACTCACTATACGGTGTTAATGGGAGACTTCAATGCAAAACTGGGCACAAGAAAGAACGGTGAGCTGAAGGTAGGGAAATTTGGGATAGGGCAACGGAATCCAAGGGGCCAGCAACTGGACGACTTCTTGGAGAAAGAGAGACTTTTTATGATGAACTCTTTCACGAAAGTGGACCTGGTCGAGCCCCGACAGTTCAACAAAAAACGAGATTGACTTCATTATGACGACCAGACGCCAACTGTTCAGTGATGTCTCAGTGATCGCAAGGGTGAAAACCGGCAGCGATCACCGAACGGGCACGGCATGAGGCACACTGAACCTAAACGTTAAGTTAGAGAGGTCTCGTCCTATGAAGTCAACGCTCCGCCCCGTCGTGCTCTAATCCAGAATCCCGAACCTTTTCAGCTCGAGTTACGTACTTTCAGTGCCTAGAAGATTGCAATGCAGTGGACGATATGAATGACAAGCTCGTGGAAACTGTCCATGCGGTCGGAGCTAAGTTCTGCAAGACCCGCCGCAGAAGAACACAAAAACTCTCCGATCACACTCTTAATCTCATAGCTGTTAGACGGGAGATTAGGTTGCAATCGTCATCAGATTTGACAGCATACAGGCAACTGCACAGACAGATCTCCAAATGCATGCGGCGAGACTTACGCAACTTTAATACTGCTCGTAGAAAAGAAGCGATCGAGCGGAACCAGAGTTCCAAAGTCTGCCGGGTCTGTCTGCAGAAAGAGCCAACCGTCAAAGTTGAAGACTGAGTGTGGCAGCATCGTTTCCGGGACATCTGAGATTTTGAGTGAGATTGAGAGGTTCTATGGGCAGCTGTACACGTCATCGTTGGAGCCACACGCAAGTGTGAGTAACGATCCAAGAGCAAGTCTTATCTGACACTATACCGATTACATCCCGGACGTCAGTCTGAGCGAGATTAGAATGGCTCTCCAGCAAATTAAAAACGGCAGGGCCCCAGGCGAGGATGGAATTACAGCGGAGCTTCTGAAAGCGGGTGGAACACCGGTTCTTGAAGTCCTTCAGTAGCTCTTCAATTCCGTCCTCCATGGTGGCACTACTCCGGAGGCATGGAGCAGAAGTGCGGTGGTCTTGTTCTTTAAGAAAGGCGACAACGCTCTCTTGAAGAACTACAGACCGATTTCCCTTCTGAGCCGCGTCTACGTGCTGTTTTCGAGAGTCATTACGAATTGTCTCACACACAGACTCGATGACTTCCAGCCTCCTGAACAAGCCAGTTTACATACCCTGCGGCAGATTTTACAGAAGACCCAAGAGTACAATCTGCTACTTTGCCTGGCGTATGTGGACTATAAGAAAGCCTTTGGTTCCGTCAAAATTTGGGCGGTGCTACAGTCACTTCAGCGGAGCCAAGTTGACTGTCGGTATATTGAAGTGCTGAAGTGTTTGTACAGTAGGGCTACGATGGCTATCCGAGTACAGAACCGGAGCTCGAAACCTATCCAACTGCAGAGAGGTGTAGGACAGGGTGACGTTATATCCCCGAAACTCTTCACTGCTGCTTTGGAAGACGTTTTCCAGCTACTGGACTGGAAAGGATACGGTATTAACATCAATGGCGAGTACATCACTCACCTTCGATTTGCCGACGATATAGTCCTTATGGCAGAATCGCTGGAGGACTTAAGCACTATGCTCAATGACCTCAATAGTGTCTCCCAACGGATAGGTCTTAAGATGAACATGGACAAAACAAAGATCATGTTTAATGTCCATGTCACACCTATGCCGGTAGTTGTTGGGAGCACTATGCTCGAAGTTGTTGACGAGTACTTTTACCTGGGACAAATAGTCCGACTAGGTAAGTCCAACTTCGATCGAGAGGTCAATCGACGGATTCAACTCGGCTGAGCAGGGTTCGGGAAATTACGACACATCTTCTCGTCAGGTATACCTCAATCTCTGAAAACTAGATTGTACAACCAGTGCGTGTTGCCAGTGATGACTAACGGATCTGAGACGTGGTCCTTCACTGCTGGCCGTATGAGGCCGCTCAAGGTCGCTCAGCGTGCTATGGAGAGGGCTAAGCTCGGAGTTTCTCTGCGTGATAGACTCAGAAATGAGGATATTCGCAGTAAAACCTAAGTGATCGACATAGCCCAAGGGATTAGTAAGCTGAAGTGGCAATGGGCCGGCCATATAGTTCGAAGAACCGATTACCGATGGGGAAGAAAGGTTCTCGAGTGGCAGCCTCGTACCGGTAGGCGTAGTGTAGGGCGACCCCCACTAGATGGAGTGACGACCTGGTAAGATATGCAGGAAGTCGATGGATGCAGGTGGATCAGGACCGTGCTTTGTGGCATTACTTGGGGGAGGCCTATGTTCAGCAGTGGACTTGTGAAGGGCTGTAATGATGATGATGATGATAATAACTGTGTATAAAATCGTAGCAACATACTACTATATTGTAAGTAGGTTAGCCAATTGTAATATAACAAAATAGATATAAATTGTAAGTATATGATCGACATGTTCTGGTAAATAAAAGGCGGGAAACCTTATACAGGAAAAACATGTGACATACGCGCTTAGATCTAAATTCAGGCGGTAAAATTGGATTGGTCGTCATCGCTCTATAAATCAAAATTGGTCAAACTGCGTATTTTCTGTCGCAAGTTTTATGTTAAATACTACCTATTTTAATTAATTATAATATAGTATTTAGGTTCAAAAGTTACCATAGAAAAACTCTACAATTAATCAACGATTTCAAGCGAAAGGAAAATAATTTTGATTATTTTATGTCTTCTTTTAATGTTTAAGTAGAAAAGCTTTGTTATATTTGGTCTCGACATACTTTGTCTTTTGTGCTTCGAAACTTGATGAAGAGGGCTTTCATTTTACTCTTGAATTGTTGCATCTGCTTCTGACGATGCCAATGTTTAAATTTGTTTTGTTATTAGAAAATTACTAATTGTCTCATTCTTAAAGAATCATTTAAAGTTATTCCTTTAAATTGTAACGTATTTTTTATAAAATATATCAATTTTAAATCTAAAAATTTCGCATTTGGATCTTAGTATAATTGTGAAGGTAAATTTCACGTTTTAAGTCCCATATCTATTTCAATATATTTTTAAATAATAGCTTATTACATTTAAGTGTTACCATGTACCATCACAAAATGTATATAAAAGTTAGCTAGATTGTTGAATTAAATATAGATTGAATATATTGTCGATGATAACTAATTTTACTAAATTGTAATTGTTTAAAAGCGGAAAGACACTAACGTTAAGTTATTTTGCTAATTCCGGTTAAAATTTGTCAATTATGTAAAAATTAAATGTCAAGTAAACAACGTTGCTTGTTTTGCGGCTTATTTTCTACGGATTTTTTTTATTAATTTATGTACTTAGTGTAAAACACACTTAACATCTGATTTGGTAAGTATAATAAGTTTTTCGTATACACACACACACATATATATATATATATATATATATATATATATATATATATATATATATATAGTGTGTGCGAAGAATCTCCGGGAGGAAAACCGGCGACGAGGTTCACCACCCGTCACGTTCTGTCTCCCGGAGAGGTGAAAAGTGGATTGCAGAGGCCCGTCTGGCTACGTTGAATGTATGTGGGGCAATGAATGATAAAATGGATGAAGTATACGATATGATGTATGATAGAGTAATAGATGTGTAATGCGTAAATGAGACGAAAAGGAAGGGGAAGGATGTCACTACACATGGCATGTATACCGCATACTGGTCTGGTGTAGACGAGATCGAGCGGGCATGCCAGGGAGTAGGTATTATCCTTTCAGAAAGAATGGGCCAGTGTGTGAGAGTATGAATGTATAAGCCCAAGACTGCTATGGATACGAATGAAAGTGGGCTTAAAGAAGTTGTTCGTGTTAGGGGTCTACGCCTCAGACATGTCCAAGCCCACTTATATCCGAGAGCAGTTTTGAGAAATGGTAAGGATGGTGTTAATGAAGTGTAAGGGAAATGAAAATATTATTATGCTAGGAGATTTTAATGGAAGGGTTGGGGTGA